GGTTTCAAGGAGAGTTTGTGATGACCAAGGTGCTATTCAAGGAATTACCTAAATATTGGTCATGTGAGAGGCTGATCAAGAATAAGTCAAAGAGTGAATCAAGTTGATCAACACACAAAGCGTAGAAGATGTACCGAGAGGGATCAAGTGATCCCATGGTATGGTAAGCATTGTCAATTACACTTTGTGTACTAACCCATGGTCTTCGTGAGAGTTCTTTGTGGGGTTAGGTTGTAGTGTGCACGTTCAAATGATGCATCACGAAGAGATCAAGTGCTTGAAGATTGCCGTCCATTGTGGTGACAATGGACTTGTGAAGATGTGCCGAAGAATGGCTCACCCATAGTGGAGTATGGGGGAGCAATCTACTAGTCTTCACTGAGCCAATGCAATCAAGAAAGGTAGTCCAACTTGAGGAAGTCAAGATCGTCTACATCTAGCTCAAGTGGACTTTGTGCAAGGCAAAGGTTTGGCCTTGATAGGTTCTCTATTTTACTGGTCTCGTGGTGGTAGTTTGGAGACCGGGTTATAGGATCGATTGTCGTACTATCAAGAGGGGTTCTCAAGTGAGTAGCTTGATCGTATCGTTCATAGAGAGCTCAAACCATTGCATTCTTGCATCATCTTTCTTGGTTCTTGTTTGGTTTTCTCCTTATGAGATTTGTAGCTTATGGTCATCTTCTTGACAAGCTCGACTTCATCAAAAATGGAGTTCGCATGCTTCTTCTATTGCGTTTTCGATGTTGGAGGTTTTACCGGTCTTATTCGAGGAAGGGTTCTCACCATTTTCTTATGGGCCTTTTCTAATTTACTTCTTGTTGTTATTTCTATCAAGATTTTGTTAGCCATTGTTGCTAGCTTTCCAACAAACTTGGTTTCGTTGAATTCGGAGTCCGTTTGCAGAACTTGTGTCAGTTTTGGTGTCCTTAAAAAGGCTGCAGCGGTACTGCCGCTCACAGGAGTGGTACTATGGCTTGGAGGGGATGTAATATTTTACTACCGCTCTTGGAGCAGTACTACCGCGTCTACTTCCGTGGCTACTTCTGCTCCGGATCAAAAACTCATCATAAGTCCAGCGGTGGTAGGCACGGATGTATTTTTTTAGTACCCCTCGCAAGCAGTAGTACTGCTACCCTTAGCGGTAGTACCGCTACCCCTAGCGATAGTACCGTGAAGACGAGCGGTAGTACCGCTCCGGCGGTTCTACCGGCCTTTTGCCTCCTCGATGTTGTTTATCAAAGGGATTCCACCGCCCTAGCGGTAGTACCGCTCCCATGAACGGTAGTACCGCTCTGTGCGGGTTGTGAGCATAACAGTTGGATTTTTTTTCACCTATAAAAGGGGGTCTTCTTCTCCAATGAACCCTATCCTTTGAGCTCGTGTTCTTCCCCCATTGTTGACCTTCTTCGAGCTTGCTATCTCTCAATCCCACCATGGATTCTTGCTAGTTTTGGGGGGAAAAGAAAGAGGAGATCTAGATCCACATTTCCAGCAATCACTTTCTCCTCTATGTGAGGGGAACCCCTTGGATCTAGATCTTGGAGTTCTTGGTGTTCTCCTTCTTGTTCTTCCTCTTATTTTCTTCCCTAGCATTAGTTGCTTTGGTGGGATTTTGGAGAGAAGGAGTTGGGCACTCCGTGTGCCCTTGCAATTGCATTTGGTGCATCGGTTTGAGTTCTCCACGGTTATACGTGGAAGTTACAAGTTGAGAAGCTTATTACTCTTGGGTGCTTAGTACCCTTGAGCTTGTTCCTCTTGGGTGCTTGGGCGCCCTAGACGGTTGGTGGTGGTTAGAGCTCAATCATTGTGGTGTAAAGCTCCGGGCAAGCATCGGGGTCTCCAATTAGGTTGTGGAGATCTCCCTGAGCAATTTGACGGGTACCGGTGACCGCCCCCAAGGGTTGCCAAAGTGTACGGGTTCGGTGACCGCCCCAAGGGTTTCCATTTGTACGGGTTCGGTGACCTCCCTCAAGGGTCCCTTATCACAGCATCTTGCATTCTGCAAGGGCGTGAGGAGATTACGGTGGCTCTAGTGGCTTCTTGGGGAGCATTGTGCCTCCACACTGCTCCAAAAGGAGATTAGCATCCGCAAGGGTGTGAACTTTGGGATACATAGTCGTCTATGTGTGCCTCGGTTATCTCTTACCCGAGCCCTTTACTTATGCACTTTACTTTGTGAGAGCCATATTGTTTCTTGTCATATATCTTGCTATCACTTAGTTGTTTATCTTGCTTAGCATAAGTTTTTGGTGCACATAGGTGAGCCTAGTTGTTGTAGGTTTTGTGCTTGACAAATTAACCGCTAGGTTTATTTCACATTTGTTCAAGCCTAAACCGTAATTATTTTAAAGTGCATATTCACCTCCCCCCCCCCTCTAGGCAACATCCTCGATCTTTCAACTTTGCTTCTGAATGAGCAGAAAATTATTCTTGCATGTAGTGACTATCGTGGAGAGGGATAGTGACAACATTAAGCCAGGGAAGGATTTTTGCGGACAACTTCCTTTCGCTCCTCTGCAGAAATGCATGGCTGCTCTCAAGATGCTTGCTTATGGGAAGATCGCAGATGCAAATTGTGTTGTCATCAACACCAAAACACTTAAGGCGGAAAATACCTTTCATCGAGGAAGGTGGAGGAAGTTCGTGGTGGTGCTTGATCCGGCAGTAGAGGTCGCCGGCGAGGTCAGGCGAGGTCATGGGTTGGCAGAGCAGCTCCTCGTGGCGGCCCGCGCTCGACCTCGAATAGGGGGCGGCTGCTGCGGCGAAAATGGGTGGCGGCAAGGTAGGCTAGGATTTGGGGGCGGGTTGGCTCTGATAGCCCTAGGACGGCAAATTGGGCGGCGCGGTGATTTCCATGCCATGAATGTGGGAGGAGAAGCTTATCTCCATTTTTATTGGGAAGCGAATAGAGAGGGACTGACGTAATGCGGTGGATGCATTATTGAACCTCGAGGGCAAGTATATATGGTTGGAGGACAAGAAGTCTATCCTAGAGATAAGATAGAAAGCGTATAGCAAAGAATACATTCAATCTTAACAAATCCTAGCCTACCATAATCTATACTCCACGTGCCACTCCCAAGGCAGCTCGGGCGGAAACCCTACCCGCGGCTACCAACGCCCCTCCCCCTCCTCCTCCCCTCGCCGCCACCGGCGCACGTCTCCGGGCAAAGCCCGTGGGCGGCTGGCGACGGTTGGATCTGGTTCGCGCGGGGGTGTGGCCCTCTCAATTATTGCGTGCGGTGGAGCTGCTTGGCGCGGTGGCCGGCCTTGGCTCACCAGCTGACCTTGGGTGCTGCTCCGATGGGTGCTAAGTCGGTTGGGTCGTGCCGCATGTGGCAGTTGGGTGGCTTGGTGTGGCGACGTGCGACGGTACCCGGTCGGCTACTGGGCGTGCTTGCAAATGGCGTGCTCCATCCGACGGTGAGGCCGTCCCCCGTGATGGCGAGGTGGTCTTGTGCTTCAGTGTGGCTTCCCCATGACCCGGGCGGCCGTTGCTGCTCTTGGTGGCCTTGTGCTCGTCCCAGTTCTAGCATGATGATGGGGACTCCATGCATCTGCGGTGGAGGGCTACAGTTGTCGGGCGACGGCCTGGATCTGGTGGTGGCAGCTTCAGCTAGGGGGCTAGGTGTGCCTGGGCATGGTGGATCGAGGGATCCCACAGCCAACTTGGCGTCGACCTCGGCAGTAGGGGCGGGGCGCAGTCGGGGGATACTCTCCCCGGTGCTCTGCAGTGGTTGGTGGGTGGTGGTTTGTAGCCGGCCGATACAAGGGGTTGTTGGTAGGGCGTCACTGGGAGAAATCCTTTCTTCGGCCTTTGCCGGTCTGGCAACGGCGACGTCGGCGGGTGTCTTGCTCTTCCTTGGAAGCGTCATTGTTGTGTGGTGCTCCTCCCCTCTCCCCGCGGCCTTGGCTCCGAACGGGAACCTCAGATCCAGAGGATCAGACGGTGAAGGCGACCTCACATCTTCTTCCTCCTTGGAGGCATCGTCTTGGAGCCGGCTACAACCTGGAGACCGGTGGATGGCGGTATCTTCGTCGCCGGTAGATGGCGGCATATTCGCCACGTGGTTTGCCTTAGGCGGCCATTTTCGGGGGCGCTGATTTCTATTTGGCAACGATGATGGTGTCGAGTGGAGCTCGGGCCACGGCTCGGGCTTTGGTAGTCGGGTCTTCCCGGCGTAACTAATGTGCTTTTCCGTGGGTTGCTTGGTTGCTTTGAAGTCGGAGCTGCTGTGGACCAGTCTATGTGGTGACGATAACAGGCTCTCGGTGGTCGTTTTCGGAGGGCACGCTCAGCGCATGTCCTACATATTTCCCTTGCGAAGCTCGTCGTCGAGTCGGTGGTTCGCGTGTGTGGCCATCTGTTGGCTTGTTGGCTAGGTTGGCTGGTGACCCCCATTTTATGGGTTGGGTTGTATCTGTTTTAGTCTGGTTTTCCGCCAATTAACTGGGATATTCTCACTTCTTCTTAATCAATGAAAATGGCAAGTCTTTTGACTCGTTTAAAAAAAACTCTATAGTCCGACACTCTTCTCAAAGCAAATTTGGTCTAGTGTCGGTATGTTTTGGAGAATGAGAATCTATTTATTTTTTGGCACCAAAAGTTTTGAAGGAAGGGCTAGGCGGTTGTTAATTCCTCAAAGCTAAATGTTTGGAGGGATTAAAGCATTATGAAGGAAGGGCAAAAGATGCTGTGAGGTCACAGAAACCCCACCAGAGTGAAGAAGGCCACGTAGAAACAGAATAGCACGTTACAAAGCGAGTCTCGCTCGTCACAGTACAAGTTCAGGAATACAGCACGTACGTACACATTTATCTTATCTTACGGATCCTGGTGCCCAGCCAGTGAATGCAGCCACTGCAACAAGCAAACAATCACACCCAACACCACACGGCCGCAGCACGGTGGAGCACCGATCCTCTTTATTTATTTCTTAACCGAAGCCGCTCTGCTCCCGGATCATCGCGTCGCATGGCGTCGCTGCTCGGCGTCCAGATCACTTGGTCGCGATGAACAGCCCCCACTTCTGCTCGCCGGCGGAGCTCCGCTTCAGCTTCGCGCTCCAGCCGTTGACGATGTCGTCGTAGTCCTCCTGGGTGAAGTCCGCCAGGAAGGCCTCCTTGTTCTTCTCGGTCTCGCCCAGCTCCCTCTCCAGGACCCTCAGGAACTGAAACGACGACCACAGTGATGATCATGTCAGTCGCTGAAGGAATTCTTGTATAATTCAAATCGGTGTACACAAAAAGGACTAGGACTCAAAGGGCGAGATGATCACCTGGTCGGTGCGGTCTTCGGCGACGACATCGTGGAAACCGGCATCCTCAAGCATCTGGGTTCATGTGCAAAACAGAGGTTAGGAACTTAGGATGGTTTGCTTCTCTGAAACAAATCTGCCAAAATGACTAGATTGATCTGGTTGATATGATTTTCTTTTCTTGAGAAGAAGCTAACCTTTCCATAGGTCTTCACGTCATGGAGGTCATAGCCTCTCTGCTTGATGTATGCAGCAAATTCCTCTGACGGTGTCCCAGGGCTCCTGCAGTAGTCACTGATCAGCACTTTGCCCCCAGGCTTGAGCCACTTGAAGAAGTTTCTGAACAGAGCGGGTTTGTCCTGTAAGGTACAACCAAGTGCACCACTTGTCAGAACCATTTGAAACAATGTATGCAACGATTTCCAATCATCTATACACACAAAAATGAGTCAAAATCTTTGCAGTAAAACATACTTGAATGTGGAGGATGGTGTCACGGCTGTAGATCACATCAAACGTGTTCTCTGCGTATTCCTTGGTGGTGCAGTCAGCAACCTCAAACTCAACCGAGCACGAGCGCCCGATGGCACGCTCGATCGCGAACGAAACCATGTTGATGGAAAGATCGATGCCGAGGACATGGACATCATAGGTTTCAGCCATGTAGAAGTCACCTCCTCCGATGCCGCACCCAACATCGAGCACCTTCTGGCCAGCTTTCAGATCCAGCTTGTCCACAAATTCTTTTGTGGTCTCTGTTATTTATGACAGCATAGACATGGTTATTAACAGTGTATGGTGTAGTAAAATCACTGAATTTTAGTGTTTTCTCCAAGAAATAATCAGTGAAATTCAGTCGTTTGCCAACGAAATTATGCAACTCACCGAATCCACCGGTGCTGACATAACCCTCCCCAAACACGCGCTCATAACGCAGGATTCCAGTGGATTTGTACTGCACATTGTCCAGGAATCTCTGAAAGCCTTTGTCTTCTGTGCACTTGACCTTCTCCCATAGCCAACATATCTAAGGAGCGCAAGGTTAAATCAGTAATTTGGCTTAAACAACACCGATATGAACAAATGATTTCGGCGCGTAAAAGGAAAGGAAAGTACCTGGTTCTGGTTCTTCTTGCTCTTCACATAAGCTCCAATGCACTTGGAAGTTACCAGAGAAAGCTCAAAGGAATTCCCATCTTGGTCATAGGAGTGGCATTCCTTAAACACCTATTTACAAATAAAAAACAATCAGATACCATGTCCTTAACGAAAGAGCATTATTACTTTTTATTATCTCTGGATATGAAAATATTGACATGATGCTGCCTGCCATAAGGAACAAATCAGTAATTTATTTGTTATCTGCCAGAATGATTAAGGTGATTTTTCCTATCAAGCTAGAGATGCAATGCCCCAGCCAGTAAATCAGGTTTGAATTAAGGAAATAGGCCTAACTGATGACAGAAAATTGTAGCAAATGGAAGCAGATTACAGGGCAAAAAAAAAAACAGTTGAGAATTGGAGTGCTAACCTTGGTGTAAAACCTTGGCTCCCGGTAGTGCGTCGGGTTCACTTTCCTCTTGGAATCCCCAGACTGGTGGAAGCAGGACTCCCTGATGAAAATATGCCCACCGGGCTTCAGCCACTTCACTATCCTGCCAATCAGCTTCTCAACCTACAGTAACAAAAAGTTAGTACTGTACATCTGTTTTGTACTGAAGCAAATTCTTCTAAGCTCCAATCAAGAGTGCCATTCACAAGTTTGGTCTGATCTTAATTACCTCCTCGTCGTTGAGGTACATGAGCAGCCAGTTGGAGAAGACGATGTCAATGGAGTTGTCCTCGATCTTGAGCTCCGGCGAGGTGACGTCGGCGCACATGAAGGTGATGTTCTTGTAGATGTCCCCATTGATCTCCTCGTTCTGCAGCAACACGGAGCGGCAGCAGATCAGATCAGATCATCAGAGGAGTGCCAAGCCAAAGCATATGGACTCTGTTTCTTGAGGCAAGAAAAGGTAGCTAGGTCACCTTCTTGATGACGCTGTCGATGAAGTCGAGCGCGATGACGTGGCCGGCCTCCTTGGCCAGCTCGCCGGTGAAGCGGCCGATGCCGGCGCCGAGCTCCAGCACCGTCTTCCCCGCGTACGACGGCAGGATGGCCAGCACCTGCAGCAGAGCGGCGCAGATCCACTGCATAAGTAAAGCTACACTGGAAACAAGCACCACTGTGTCTGTGTGCCAAAATTTTAGACAAATCATGGTGGATGGAACTGTGCCCAGCCACCCACCCCTTGGTGGTCCGTTTGGAGCTCGAGCTCTTCCACCTCTGCCAGCCTCTCCTCCTTGGTACCCTGCCCTGCCCCCTGCCCGCTCAAGCTGATCTCTCTCGACCGTACGGTGGCCGGCACCGACTGCTCCTTGGTACCCTGCCCCGCCCCCTGCTCGCTCATGCTGCTCTCTCTCGATCCCACGGTGGCCGGCGGCGAGTGAGAGTGGCAGCGGGAGCAGGGCGATGATGGGATGGGACGGGCTGGCTAGCGATATGGCCGTGATTCACGATGGTGGCGACGATATATATGGTACCACCATGCGGTCCTCGGCTCTGGGCAGTGGCCACTGGGGAGCTGAAAGAGCAAGGGAATCATCGTCGCGGGCGGAAAAGGACACGCCGGAGTTGGTGAAGCCGGGTCCAGGGGTGATAGTTTATATGAGGAATCAGTTTGCGCTGCGTGCTTTTCAGTTTTAAAATAACTGAATTTGTTACTATATGCCACGCACGCTATGCGTATGCAGCCAAATATCACATAAAGAATACACTATCCTTCGTTGCCGATCCCGATGTATGCCACACCATACTTTCGGCCATGAACTGACCGTTGTGCCCCTCTATGGCTGCTTTGTGATAGTAATTGGCTGCATGTTTCTGAAGTGATGATCAGTGTGTGATATGACGTTCTCATGCTCTGTTCTTGTTGATGAAAAGTGGGTTGGATGCCATTTTGGAGGAGGAAGAAGAAGAAGAAGATGGTAAGGTGCCAATTCCGTTAATGGCCATGAATATGTTCTGTTGTTCCAACATCTCCACCACTCACTTTCACTTTTTTTTTCCCACATATGCATCCACTAACCCAGAGCAAATAAGTGAGAGTGGCAAGATGGTCAATTCAGTTCAGGCTCAGTAATGAGTGACACACTCAAATATTCTCTACAAGTGTTTTTTTTTGTTGTTGTTGTTGTTGTTGAGGGAAATATTCTCTACAAGTGGATGGTGCTGAGGGCATGTGATCATTTATTTACATCAAAACAGTATAGTTATAGGATGTCATTTTATAGTGCTGCCTTTAATGATCTCCATTTCTTATATGTGTAGTAGCACCAGTAGCTCCACGTGTCCACTAGCAGTCACAAAATATAAAGATCAGATCACCGCCCAATTCGACGACTTGACTACCCATGTTCAGTTATGTGCTAGATCTTCACATTAACAAGCTATATTTGCTTAATTACCATGTAGTACATCTTCATATATATCATCAAGAAATTAAGCGTTGGAATAAATAAAATCCAAACATTTAGTTGATCCCCTTCCAACATACTTACTCTGTAAACTTTTACAAGACGTTTTAGATCACTATAAAGTACTAGTACTATATAAGTAACCTTTTGTTGTTTGTGTCGGCCAAAGAAAACGGCTATTTTTTTATCAGTGGTCAATATTAGATTTGTTTATTCATTTGAGGGGCAGTGGCTAATATTAGAGATGAGTTGGATTTTTGTAATCATCATGATGGAAATGGACAAGGACGATTCCCCACATAGCAGCCCAGTGCTCCACTGCCATTGGTTTACCTGTCAAGCCTTTTTCAGAGGAAAAGGTGATTTAGCCCTGCTGCTTTCAGAAACCCGACAGATAACTACCTATCAGATTTATAGTATATAATCAAATCAAACTACCTATCAGCCTTTTAGGGAGATCCTGGCTCTTATATGGAAAGTCGAGATTCGAAGCAGACTGCTTCCGCAAAAAAGAAAAAAGAAATCCAACTGACGCCCCAAAAGAAAAGGAAAAATAATTTTTAGCATGTGGGCCTCTGGTCCAGCACTTGGACGTTAACGATCTAGGAGAGGCCACCCGTCGTTTGGGCCGAAACGAATGGCCGTCGCCGTCAGGCCGTCGCCATCTGGGCTCCTTTTTTCTCGGTGGCAGAACGCCACGCCGCAACAGTACGAGTGTACGAAAATGGCGAAAAAAAAAGGATCAGACAAATCATCATTTATTATGATCTTCTTGTCTCCGTGCCACGCGTACGTATCATCACTACTCCTCAAAAAACAAAAGATGTACGAGTAGAAAAGATGTACGGTGAGGATCCTCAAAAGAAGAAGATGTACGGCGAGATTAATCTGGCAGCAGCGAAATGGATGGGATGGGATTAGCAAGGATGATTGGCCGTACCTCTGGCCTCTCCTCCTTGTCGAGGTCCTTGGCGCGGGAGTCGAGCATCATGGACTCCACGGTGAGGTCCTTGGAGTGCTCCTCCCAGTAGCTCTTCTGCACCTTGCGCTCCACCTCCCCGAACACTGCACGCACGCACGCACACGCATAATCAATCAACCCATCGGCCACGCGATCGAGGTCCATCAACGCCGGCATCACGACCCGACGAACAACGAAACGGGACCGCATGGGCTTACCATTCTCGACGACGGTGATGGTGTCCATCTTCTTCTCTCGTTTCAAAGTTTTTCAGAGGCGAAAGGAAGGGAGCAGGGGAGTGTCGTCGTTGGGTGTGAGCTCTGGTGTGTGTTTGTTGTTAAGAAGGTGTGGTGTGTGTGTTGGCTGGGCCGGGGGTGGCGGTGGGGTTCTGTTTAGGCGCCCTCGACGGCGAGGCGGGATCGGGAGAAGCCGCGGGAGCGGCGGTTGTTGGAGAGGCCCCTCTGTTGCATGCACCAACGCGCAGCCCGGAAACCTCCCGACGCCGCCCGCGGCTGCGGAGGAGGAGGAGGAGGTTCCAACTTCCAACGACCGAACGACCAGGGAGCGGAGAGCACCAAGAGTGTGCTGTGTGTGTCTCTCTGCTGTGCGGTTGCTGATCTGCGGCGAACGGGTCGCGGGTTTTATAGCCGCGCCGGGCGTCGCGGCGGGGGGTGCGCCGCGCCTGTTGGTGTTGCGGTGGCGAGGCCCGAGCAAAACGAAGCGAATCCCCCGCTGGATCCGGGTGGGCCCAGGCCCGGGCCGCCTCTTCTCTTCTCTTGGATCGTGTGTTTTTTCTTTTTCTTTTTCTTTGCCTTTCTTTCTTCCTCTGTGTATATGCAGTAGAGTGCAGGCTCGTTGTCTGCTGTCGCGGGGCCGGGATAGGATAGGCCGGACGGGTGGCGCCGTGCGGGTGCGCGACTTGTCGCACAGCCTTTGTTGGTGGTGCCCGTCGCTCTCGCTGTCTCCACCACGGCCGCGGCGAGCAGAGCGGGGGAGGGGAGGTGGCGAGGCGAGTGGAGCGAAGGGACGAGCGGGGGAATCTCTTGGGCTCGCCAATGGCCGTCGGGGCCGACGGAGCAGCAGTGTGGTGGGTGACGCCGTGACAGTGAGCGCGGCTACGGCGATAGTGCTATGCCGGGCCAAGACGAGGGCGGGAGGGAGGCCACACCACATGCATTGCTTTCGCCCACACTGGCGCTTACTCAGGGCCCGAGTTTTACCCAGCACCAGCAGCGCCGTGTGTCACGTTGCTTCGTCTCCTCCGCTGGGTGAAACTCGCTGCCGACCAAATCCCGTGTCAAAGTAACGGGACGCAAAAATGATTGACCCAGATAAGGTTCACGCTCTTTACGCCCTGTCCTGGAGAGGAACCCACACCCTTTGTGTTTGCGTCACTTGGGAGGGCCAAAACATCACTACGATCGGTCGTACGACACTTGTTAGGTCGGTCATTACCTCCCAAGCAGTATTCTCCATCACGCCCCTCATCGTGCCTCAGAGCTCTCTCCAAAGCCTTAACAAAATTGAGAGAGCTTTTCTTTGGTCCGGCTCGGACAAGACAACGGGAGCCAAATGCAAGGTCAACTGGAAGGTGGTTTGTAGACCAAAAGAATTTGGTGGCCTCGGGGTGCTCGACACCGACAAGTTTGCACGTGCTTTGCGGCTCCGATGACTATGGTATGAATGGACGGAGCCCCGAAGATTATGGGTTGGCCTTGGAAACCCGTGCACGGAGGAGGACCTCGAGTTTTTCTATGCCTCTACGACTATCACTGTAGGGGATGGCGCCAAAACGCCTTTTTGGGGCTCCCCGTGGCTTCTTGGTCGCAAACCCAAGGATATCGCGCCACTCTTGTTTGCGGCCTCGAGAAGGAAGAATTGGAAGGTCCGTGAGGCCCTCGTGGGGAACGCTTGAATCTTCAAGATCAATCTGAACACGGACACGGATGTCTCCATCGCCCACATTAGGGAGTTCTTCACTCTTTGGATGCTCCTTAATGACGTCCACCTTCATGAGCAAACCGAAGACCTCATCGTTTGGAAGCATGCGAACGATGGGATCTACACGGCGGCCACCGCATACAAGGCTCAATTCCTAGGCATGACTGTTTCCCCCTTGGATCGCATGGTTTGGAAGGCATGGGCACCTCCAAAGGTTAAGTTTTTTGCTTGGTTGGCGTTGCAAGATAGGATTTGGACCGCCGATCGCTTGAAGCGTCGAGGTTGGCCAAATTGTGGCCTTTGCAAGCTCTGCAATAGGGAGCAAGAATCAGGAGCCCACCTTTTCTTCAAGTGCCGCTACACGATTCGGCTATGAAAGTCTCTTATTGAGAAACTGGGTCTTGCGCACATGGATACTTCCGACTGGCTCATGGACGACTCCGTCTACCAGTGGTGGGACAAGAGAACCGACAACCGCAACCCTAACCGGCAAGCTATGGCCTCCCTCACCATGCTCGTCTCTTGGACCATTTGGAATGAAAAAAATGCAAGAGTGTTCCGCCACAAAAGTGCACCACCGACCGTCCTACTCACCGCCATTGTCGACGAGGCCAAGCTTTGGATGGCCGCGGGCGCAAAGAAATTAGGAAATTTTTTTCTGGGCGAGTAATTGTCATGCCGAAAGTGTGGGTGTGTTGTAATTCTCTAAACTCTATTCTCTCCTTATTTAATAGATAAGATAAATCTTATGCCTCCGTTTTGAAAAAAAATCATCCACAACAGATGACACTCCCTCCGTCAGAAAATACTTGTCGTCGGAAGGGAAATAGTCGCCAGGGCGAGCAACCGTCGCGCTAACCATGCATGCATGGGCGACCCATATCGTCTATGCAATTGGCCAGCCCGGCTACGGTGTCCGTAAGTTCCCAGGGCTCACCTGGTGAAGGTCGCTTGACGCTTGGAGCGAGCGATGAGATGATGAGATTCCATCATGGCCATGGGGCCGCCATTGATGGCATTGTTTGCTGCATCCGCAAGCCTCGCCGGGGCACGTGGCGTCGACCTTGTGGTGGCGTCGACGACGGGCTTTGGTGCCTAGCATAGCACGGGCCGGGGGGAGATATTGTTGTGTCTGGGTGGTGTGTCCCTGACGTACGTGGAGCTAAATTATTGGCGTGGTGGATACCTGGGCCCCGGCCGATTGATACCCGGGCCCCACGTGATTGATACCGTCGCTGCTGCTTGGTTAACATGATTGCAGCGTAGTACAGTCCTAGATTAAGCTTAGCTTTGGAGTAGTAGTACAATATTGCAAAGATTGTTGAGCGATTCTTTCATCAAAGTAGTAGATCAATCCTTTGCACCATGCAACTGGAAGTAGTATATCGTAGCATTGCTTTCGGTGAGATCGGTTCATTGCATGATCGTAGTGTGGTGTAGTGTAGTACGTACAATATGGTGCCATAGCTTGGGAGTGGGCAAAGTTTATTGATTGTTCGGAGCGGATCAAGCCTCTGCTTGGTTCAAGTTGGGAAGTATCTTACTGTATTTTGGAAAGAAGATGTGATTCCTCGCCTCCGTCGGGTGAGCCATCAGCTGGAGAAGAAGTGGTAATATCGTAGTGGTGCTTTCATGGGGAGAGGGCGTCGACGTTGACGGTGCTGCCCGTTTTAGCCGAGGCAGCGGTCTCATCGGCGGGATCGCACTGTCGAGCGCCCGGGAATCAAGCCGAGGCAGCGACGGCACAGCTTCTTGAATCTGGATGCCTGCTGGCGAATCACGATCTGGGCAAGCTCAAGGAGTTACCGGATGCCTGGCTGACTGGAGCCAAGGAGATTCACCTGCTCACCTGCGCAACTGTGCCAGAGATCCACCCTCCCACCCACGTACGACCTACAGAAGCTAGGAGGACAGTTCGTACGTGTAGCCATGTTACGCTAGGTTGTGGGTTGGGGGACTTCTCACGAGGCCAAGCGCCGGATCGATCGCTGGTGTTGAAGATTCTTCTGTCTCTCAGTTGCTTTTCTTTAACCCATGAGACGAGACGACAAGCATGTTCAGCAGAGTAGATCGATAGCTAGGGTGGTGAGTGGTGAGATATTGTAATTTGAGACCCGGAGTCACTGTCAGCAGTCACCCTGCTTTAATTTTCTGCCGAAAGAAGGCGATCAGCTCCCGTCGATCCCATGCGGAAACGGGGAGGACAATGATATGATGGGGAACGGTACAGTCACTGGTCCTTGCGAGATGATCGGCACCACTCCCTTGTGAGTCTCACCTACTTTCTTTTTTGGAAGGGACGACATCTTACCTACCGATACTTCAACAGCACACTTTAGCCGCCGGTCTGCGTTTCCGAGTTTATTTTGGACAGCCGGTAAAAGTTTACATAATTCAGCAAGTAGATTAGCCAGGACAGTTCAGCCATCAAAGTGTAACTATCACAGCAAAGGAAACACTCCATGATATCATAGCAAAGGAAATACTCCATACTCCACAGTGAGGCCAGGAGGATGGCATTAGACAAGTGTGCAAGAGATAACATGTTAACATGGGCATCTTCAAAGAATGTGGGAGATGGCAATTGAACAGCCATGACAAAAGAACGAGCGAAATGCTCGCCGTTTTGTTATATAGCCAACGTCCTACTATTTATTGACATATATCTGATGTTACACAGGCCGCTACGTTTTCTTTACAAGCAAGGGTCACTTGGCAGAGTCCCGTGTGCCGAAGCGAATACACATATCGTTACACAGATTTCTGACATACATGAATAGAGCCAGGCGCAATGCATATTACAGTCACACGAAAATCGCATTTGCTCGGGGTATACTATTAGCTCCTCGCCTATCGCAGGCCTATAGAAGGCTGCCACCAAATGGGTTGGCTTGCTGTTGCGAGTTATTTGCCGCCGGGAACGCGAAGCCACTATCCAGGAATGGGTTTACTGCTGCAGGGCCAGGGCCAGCGCCTGGATGCTGCGGCTGAATTGGTGGTCCGAAGGGATTCTGATGGATCATCGTTGGTATCTGCTGCTGCTGCTGAGACATGGCAGCCATTTGAACTGACGACGGGGCGGCGACGTGATTCGACATCGCAAAAGGATCGTTTGTCATGAATGGGTTGGGAGCTGATGAACCGTATAACTGCTGTTGTTGTGACTGCCTGTAGGCCCCCTCATCATAAAGGCTGTCCAAGATGAGCTTGTCGAGCCCACCACC